TCTATATTTATGGTTGGCTTCATGAACGAATCTTTGTTGATAGCCAGTGGGTTTGCAAAGTTCCTACATCTTAGATAAATCAATTTCGTGTGAGCCCACCGCATTAAAGCAATGATCAGCCACGGCCGAGGTATTGGTCCTCCCGTGTTTCAGATCTGCCTTATATTCACGAACACGGTCTGAGACGTGTCGCATAGTTTCCCCGATGTAACTACTGCCGCAGACACAGCTTAGTTTGTAGACGCCGGGGTATTGCATGTCAGGAATCACATCCTTCACAAATGGGATCAGATCACGAATTTTACGTTCTGTTAAATCGAACCTGGATCTTGTTTGCTCATGATTTTGGAAATATTTTTGGTGACTCCTGCTATGTATGACAAGGTGATGGTTTTGAATGGGTCCTCAGATGATTCTTTCCCAACCGTTGGGGTGATAGCTTTATGGATTGTGTAGTCTGAATATGCATTCATCTTGAGAGCTTGGTGTACGTGTTCCAGTTCACTGGCTAGGTGATGATGGTCGGAAATACATCGAGCTCTATGGTGTAGAGTTTTGATGAGGGAATTCTTCTGGGATGGATGGTGGTGGAGGTTATAGGTAGGCATCAGTATGGGTGGCTTTCCTGTAGACAGTGTCCCATAGAGCCATCTGGTCTCTTTTTGATTAAAACATCCAATAATGGTAACTTGCCATCCGTTTCCACCTCCATGGTGAATTTGATGGCTGGGTGTATGGAATTGATGTGGTTGAGCAATTGGTTCAGAGCTGGTAGGCCATGTGGCCAGATGACGAACGTGTCATTTACGTACCTCTTGCACAAGGACGGACGTAGAGTGGATGCCTGGATGGCATCTCTCTCAAAATTGTCCGTGAAAACATTGGCTACAACTGGAGATAACAGAGAACCCATTGGGGTACATTCAACTTGTTTGTAGAACGTTTCATTCCAGGTGAAGTAAGTGTTGGTGAGGCAGGTACATCGGCATTCAGTCCTTGTTGAACCAAATGTTCAATGATTGCAATGGGGTCAGGTACAGGGACTTTGGTAAACAAAAAAAACTACATCGAAACTAACGAGCAAATCACCTGGACATAGTGAGATGTCCTTAATTAACGATACCAAGTGAGCTGAGTTAAGTACAGCTGAGGTGGTTTTACCAGTGAATGGTTGTAAGATCTCAGACAGAAATCGGGCCAGTTTGTAGGTGGGTGAGTCAATGGTGGAGACGGTGGACGAAGTGGTGTACCTTCTTTATGGTTTTTGGTAAGCCATACAATCTGGGTGGTCTAGCAACAGAGGGTTTTAAGGAAAACCGCTTGGTTGGTTCGTTTAAAGATGTCGAATCAGTGATGTTGTTGGTTTTCGTAACGAGGCGGTTGGTGGGATCTCTTTTAATTTTGGTATAGCTACCATCATTAAGTAGGTCCTGAATGTTGTTATTGTATGTGGTTTTGTCCATGATGACTGTGGCATTGCTAATAGGTGTCTTAGCGTTTTTAAGGATTGCAGTGATTTCTGGTCTTGCCACGTCCGCAGTAATGTGTCCCAAACCCTTAAGGGCTACGTCGACCTGGACAATGATATCATCAAATGGGATGTGTTTAGGGGTGACTGCAAAATTCAATCCTTTAGCTAGAACCCATTTTAGACTGTCGGAAATTAGACTGTTACTCTGATAACAATCTAGTCAACGTCTAACTTTTTAACGTGTGGATTTGGCTTCTTCTTGGAAAGGAGGTTGAACTTGGAAATCAGATTATCTTTGCATTTAGCTGACATTGAGGCAGCTGAAGAGGCTGTCATGTTATCTACATGTTCCCAATCAGATGTAGACATGTTTTATGTCAATGTTAAGTGTGATTTCAGGAGAGTCTTGTCTAAATTGTCTAGTTCAAATTGGAGCAATCTTATTCTCTCTGAGATAAGGGCTAGGCCGGCCCTGAACAAAATCCGTTTAGCATTGGGAGAAATGACAGCAGCAGATGTCAATGTCAAAGCGATTGATATTACCTTAGTGTCGCGGCATCTCTTCAGAAAAGTGAGCGACTCGATCAGGTGAGCCTTCTTGTCTCGAAGTTTGTTAAAAGATCTAACAGTTCTGTGGAAACCCTCCCCGTAGAGGCGATTAAATATCTTTGGTGACTCCTGCTATGTATGGCAAGGTGATGGTTTTGATTGGGTCCTCAGATGGTTATTTTCCAACCGTTGGGGCTTGTGTTGCGATCGAAACGTCGTAGTTTTTTTGTTATTTTCTTTGAACCTATCTACGTGACTTTACCGAAAAACCCAAAGAATATGAATTTCTGCAGTCACGAAAGCTTTAAGTCAAGATTTGTGGGGAATAATAGCCATTTTCTGTACTTTTGAGACATAAGCAATTAGGAAATAACACTTACTACCCAGGAACAGAAAGTAAAAATGCGCTACGCAGTGTTATCATTACGTCGACAAGTAATCAGATTACTTTAATAAGCAACAAAAAACACGACGCATTCCACATCTTAACCCTCATTTTTTGTCAGTGAGCACTAAATATGTCCGTCTCGTCTAATGTAAATGTTTCGCATTATCCTTATTGTGTTTAATGCGGGGCCACCCCGTTGCCCCGGACAATTGAGAGGAGACAACTCTCACGCCTGGGAAACATGTCAATGTGCGGGGCGAATCGATGTGGCGCGTGCACATCACGCCTGCTGAGTCTTGCGGACAGCAGATAGCACCATTGACATATTGAACCGAATATTTGACGATATTGAGCTGGAAATGGTGCACAAGAACAACAGCCTTAACAGAAAAAACAAACATGAAAGGCGACGTTTTGGCCAATGATCCTTCTTCACAGGTATACACATTGAGAGGCGCTTCTGCGCCCGTCTGAAACGCTCTTCCTTCTGATATATATTCGGAAGCCACTGGAGCTATGCAATGAAAAAAAACTACTTTGAAAACTCGTTTTTTAAACAGTTTTGTGTCTGTTTAGTGTGTTGTCCTTTCCCCCGCACCTACGATTTTCACGGTTGGATACGTACGGTGCGACAGAAGTTTGCCACACATACAGAGAGATTGGTTCAGTACAAGCAAACACTGGACCGATTTCGTCACGAAGTCTCATGAGCAGTCAGGCTCGCTTGAATCAATGCTGAGCAACTGCCGATCATACAGGCAAAGGACTCTCTGCACATAAAAATATTATATATATGAAAAAAACATTCTCATCTCCATCAGTGGCATTCACCCAGTGTCAAGTATTCACACATTACTACTGCAGGGGTAACTTGTTCCCTAAAAATGAACATGGAGGGATGTAAGCTATTTTCATGATTCATATTTATTGTTCATTATCACTTTTACTCAACATCATCCGGACACGCCGCCAGTAAGTTTGATGTTAAATGGTCAAGAAATTATCGGGGTGGCAGCCAAATCATGTGGACGCACCCGATAGTAAGTCAATTGAGACGAAGCAATGTAGGCGCCGAGTGGATTATTATTACTAGATCGTGAGATGACGAGAGACGGCAACATCTTGGAGAAGGCCCTCATCCAGCAGTGGCTTAATCCTGGCTAATGGTGGCGAGGCATTTTGTCGCGTGGTCTAGCGTATGGTGTGAATGCGTGAGTCAGGCCGAGTCGCCTTTGAAAAGAAAGAAAATGGGCTTCTTAGCTCTCAGTGGCATTTACTCGGGCACTTAAACTTCTGAACTTTTTCTTTCTTCTTTGGTTCTTTCGGTAAAGTCACGTAGAATGAGAATAAAATAATAAATTGATAAAATAAAATAACACAATAAAATTATGTCTGGAGGACAGCGCTGTCCTACCAGACAGTCTCGTCCCTTCACCTGATGAAGGCCGCTTGTGTTGTGGCCGAAACGTCGTGAGAATATTATTGCGTTATTTTATTTTATCAATTTATTATTTTATTCTCATTCTACGTGACTTTACGGAAAGAACCAAAGAAGATGAATCATTGCAGTCACGAAAGCTTTAAATCGAAACTTCTGAACTTTCTTCTGAACATTAACGTCGGCGGGATGGCTGGTGTCCCACTGCGTGCGGTAGTGAGGGCCTTGGCCGTGACGTCCCTGTGGGGTTATGAGGAGGATGATTCGTAGGCTGGTGGTGCGTTACGGCATGGGGCAATGATGATACGTTTGTTTTTAAAATGATAAATGTCCACGACGCTCCATGTAACCCGCAACAATATTCACGCCCGTTCCTTCTCCACCGGTCGACTAGGACGTGCTGTAACTGGATGAATTGCTTGGAAAAAAATTGAGTGCAACAGATTTGGATCTTTGTTTCGACCTCATTTGGTGTTGCCGTATTCCGCTCTCTGTTCGTTCGCCCTTGTGTTTGGTGTCAGCTTTGTTTATTCCACCTTACGTTAAACGTTGAATGTTACGCAATAGCCTTTTACCTCTCTGTTTTGCCATGTAACCCAAATGTCCCGTCAAAAAATGGACTCGAAACAACATAATAATGACAACTTCTAAAGTGCCCGTACCATGGCAAGCCATTAAAGTCGATGAGATCTTACCTAGTAACGAATTGGTATGTACTAGCAACAAATTGGCATGTTCCGTATACGTGACAAACCTTACTAATTGATGTGTGTCAGGTGGTGGAGGGGGGGGGGGTTAACGACACATTTATATTTACGCGATCTAACCCCCAAAAAACCCCTCTATTATAGAACTCACCTGGTTTAAATAAATGAAATGAATGAATGAGTCGCGGCGCATGGTCGTGAGAAGGCAATGCAGATGCGAAGCGGGTAACTTGAAGCCCAGGTGTCACTTACGATGGACAAGATGCCAGGTGAGTTGTAGATGAAGATGTTTGGCAAGGCGAGCGGGATAGTTTCCGGGCATTGCGAATAAATTCGTACGGACACGCGTAGGGCAGCAGTGGATGGCAGTGAGATTAGCAAGTAGCGGCATGGGGGGCGGGGGGGAAATAGTCCAACAGCCGCAACAACATTCTTACATAAGACCCACAATATCTGGCGTACTCTTTTGCGTGGCGTAGGATGACTGCACAATGCGGTCTCCGTGTGTATAAAAGGCGCGCAGCTCGCACGCTGTCCCACCACCTTCATCGATCGCTGGGGCTGCAACGACTGGCAAGGGAGGACAAGGGAGGACACGGCAGCACCATTAATTCATAATTAGTTTCGGAGTGAGATAAAGAAAAGTGAGAATGGCAAAGCCACAAGTGTTTTTCGAACTGACTGCCGATGGCGAGGCGCTGGGCCGTCTCGTCATGGAGGTAACGACCAAAGGTTTTGTTGAAGATGTACAGAATGCGCACCTGAGTTTTTTTTGTTGTTCCTATCTTCCCGGTGCACATACTGCCATGGGAGCATGTTTTGTGCCAGGTTTGCCCAGCCTTGACAACATTTGACCAATGCATTACACGGGCTAGGTTCGTATACGGTACATGTTCTTAGGTCTGTGCGGGCTGTCGCGTGTTTTTTTTTTTGCACTTGCCTGTAATCACAATAACTTGGGTTTGATGCCTGGTCATGATGCGCAACACCATGTGGCAATTGGTGACAGGCGCCTGCCACTGAACGTGGAGTGGACCTTCAAGGTTGACTCAACTTAAAATGAGGACCAGGTGCGATGATCAAGTTGACATCAACACAGAACCTAACAGGCAATCGCGAGTTCTATAATCAGTGCAGATCTTTTTTTTACTGTATTCTCATATTTGACCACGGATTGTCCCAGGAATTATGTGGCTTTTTCAAACTTGTACGTACCGTAGTATTTATTAAGCGGCCAACGCATTGGTGGACTTGCACAATATGCGCAATTTGCTAATCACTGCAATGTTTAACAAAAAAATTATCTCACTGTCAATAAAGTATTAAAGCTTTCGTGACTGCATAAAATTACTCATTGTTTTTTTCGGTAAAGTCACATATGTAGAAATACAATAAAATTATATTAAAACAAAACAATCACGACGTTTCGATCACAACACAAGCGATCTTCATCAGGTATCAAGAACAAATCATGGAGGTAAATACAACAAAAAGATGAAAGACGAGAATTTGTTGAGAATTTGTTGAATTCTCGTCTCTCATTTTTTGTTGTATTTACCTCCATGATTTGTTCTTGACACCTGATGAAGATCGCTTGTGTTGTGATCGCAACGTCGTGATTGTTTTGTTTTCATATAGTTTTATTGTATTTCTACATACGTGACTTTACCGAAAAAAACAATGAGTGAGTTCTCTCACTGTGTCTAAATCTGCCAGTCAATTGAAGACGTAGGCTTCCACGACCAATATTAGTCACTGGGAGTTGTTTGGGGGCGCCTGCGGTGCCCCTCACAACCATTTACAGCCTTCGGCCAGGAAAGCCACGAAAAAAATTGCACACGAACGACGCATTCACACAAGCACCCGATGCTCCGTTTTGAAGTTTTTTTAAATTAAACATCTTTGAATTGTATTATATTTTGAATTGGATAATTGTATTTCTTCATTAAAAGCCCATATCATTTTACATCTGGAGGACTTAATTGAAAACGACATTTCGTGTGAATTTTCTCTCGTCGTTAAGTAGATGATGGCCTTGCCGGGGGTTCGGTTCGATGCGGGACTTTCACCTGTTTGGGATTGAGGGCTCGAGATAAGGCGACGTGGAGCTGCTGGCCGTGCGAGAAGACCGCCGTCTGCAGATCGATTCCAACGTAACCGAACGTCTGTCCCTGAGCCTAACGTCGTTCATGCAGGGGGCGCGTTTAGGTTTACAGCGCCCCCTGCATGAAAACGACGGAAAGTGTGCAGCGTTCATCACAGATAAAGTTGTGCGCTTATATAAGAGTATAATAAAGGTTGTTGGGTTAGATCGCGTAAAGTGTACCAGCGTTATAATTATCAAAAAGTGAAAGTAATCACTTATCGCGAGCACAATTAAATTAATTGTATTGTCAGGGAATAAAAACAAAGAATCAGAATATATACCGGAGAAATCTGATGATCTATAGAGGTCTTTTTAACAATGCCCGTCACACATGCCAACTAAGAACAAGAACGGTGACTTTGGGTCTTCTAAAATAAAACTATTTTGGTCGCTGTACGTGATTTGTCTCAAATTCGCAACTAGTTCGGCAGTAGCAGAAAATGTGTAAAGCTTACAATGCATATCCACGGCACCTTCGCGTTGGCCTTTACACTGGTTGTTTGAGCCTCAAACCAATGACAATGAACCCGAAGGATGCCTCACCTTTGTACAGTTGGTAATGGGTGTATCTCAAATTTCCAATTTGTATGTCAAATTTCAACTGTGGAAGTCTTTCACCTGCACCTGGCTATGAAGGAAAAAATACTGACAAAAATATTATTTGTATCGAATCTTAAGCCATGTGTCCACTGTGTGTCTAGTTAATTTTGCAAATCAGTCTAAAGGTTAACGATATATTACAAGTGTTTATAGACGGGATACAATGGATTTGAAACATTTTTCAAGACCTTTCAATCTACTGCTGGATAAAAGCCTCCCATTACCATGTCGGTCATTAAGTGGTTTTTGACCATACTTCACCACTCTGGTCAAGTGCGGGTTGACGAAGGGAAGGCAAATAGGATTTGGTTCGGATGTCACGCACCACTTATTTTAGCCGTGGCTGGGAATCAAACTCAGGTGACTTTTGGACCGCTGATTTTCTTCCAAGTGTACGTACTTTCCTGACTCTATGCTATGAATGTTGTACATGCGATGCGTTCTGTTAGTTTACATTTTTTTGTGCTGGTTCTAAAGTCATCATGTACCGTTCATTTAGCTTTGTTTAGTTCCTGTTTGTTTCTGTAACCAGGTTTCTTTGGTGTAGACAGGTCCCCATCGAAAAGTGTGTATGCATTCCCCAATACGTTTTATTCTGTGCCACATTAAACCTAACCTAGTTCGTTGAGTCCACGCCACGTGTTTCACCTCCATTTAATAACTGTTCGTAAATTAATGTGTTCAAAATGTGTCCTGTATTATAATGAAAGTAACAATTAAATACAGTACCGTTAAATTATATTCAAATAAACAATGCATTTTCATTCACATTTTGCAATACAATATTATACAGTACTCAACCCATGACATTGCGTGCATTTCTCTTGTGAAAGAGACAAGTCTGCACTTGGCTTAAAAAAATATTGCAGTGTGTGCCACGGTGGCTAAGAGATGTTAACTCCCTCGCCTGGTATACAGGAGGTTGCGGGTTCGATCCTGAGCCTGACGCCTGCTGTATATTTGGAGTTTGCGTGTCTCTCTCTCTCATCATCATCACGATGGCTATGAGATGTTAACTACCTCGCCTGGTGTACAGGAGGTTCGTGGGTTCGATCCTGACCCTGACGCCTGCTGTATATTTGGAGTTTGCGTGTCTCTCTCTCTCATCATCATCACGATGGCTATGAGATGTTAACTACCTCGCATGGTGTACAGGAGGTTCGTGGGTTCGATCCTGACCCTGACGCCTGCTGTATATTTGGAGTTTGCGTGTCTCTCTCTCTCATCATCATCACTATGGCTATGAGATGTTAACTACCTCGCCTGGTGTACAGGAGGTTCGTGGGTTCGATCCTGACCCTGACGCCTGCTGTATATTTGGAGTTTGCGTGTCTCTCTCTTTCATCATCACGATGGCTATGAGATGTTAACTACCTCGCCTGGTGTACAGGAGGTTCGTGGGTTCGATCCTGACCCTGACGCCTGCTGTATATTTGGAGTTTGCGTGTCTCTCTCTCTCATCATCATCACGATGGCTATGAGATGTTAACTACCTCGCATGGTGTACAGGAGGTTCGTGGGTTCGATCCTGACCCTGACGCCTGCTGTATATTTGGAGTTTGCGTGTCTCTCTCTCTCATCATCATCACGATGGCTATGAGATGTTAACTACCTCGCCTGGTGTACAGGAGGTTCGTGGGTTCGATCCTGACCCTGACGCCTGCTGTATATTTGGAGTTTGCGTGTCTCTCTCTCTCATCATCATCACGATGGCTATGAGATGTTAACTACCTCGCATGGTGTACAGGAGGTTCGTGGGTTCGATCCTGACCCTGACGCCTGCTGTATATTTGGAGTTTGCGTGTCTCTCTCTCTCATCATCATCACGATGGCTATGAGATGTTAACTACCTCGCATGGTGTACAGGAGGTTCGTGGGTTCGATCCTGACCCTGACGCCTGCTGTATATTTGGAGTTTGCGTGTCTCTCTCTCTCATCATCATCACGATGGCTATGAGATGTTAACTACCTCGCCTGGTGTACAGGAGGTTCGTGGGTTCGATCCTGACCCTGACGCCTGCTGTATATTTGGAGTTTGCGTGTCTCTCTCTCTCATCATCATCACGATGGCTATGAGATGTTAACTACCTCGCCTGGTGTACAGGAGGTTCGTGGGTTCGATCCTGACCCTGACGCCTGCTGTATATTTGGAGTTTGCGTGTCTCTCTCTCTCATCATCATCACTATGGCTATGAGATGTTAACTACCTCGCCTGGTGTACAGGAGGTTCGTGGGTTCGATCCTGACCCTGACGCCTGCTGTATATTTGGAGTTTGCGTGTCTCTCTCTTTCATCATCACGATGGCTATGAGATGTTAACTACCTCGCCTGGTGTACAGGAGGTTCGTGGGTTCGATCCTGACCCTGACGCCTGCTGTATATTTGTAGTTTGCGTGTCTCTCTCTCTCATCATCATCACGATGGCTATGAGATGTTAACTACCTCGCCTGGTGTACAGGAGGTTCGTGGGTTCGATCCTGACCCTGACGCCTGCTGTATATTTGGAGTTTGCGTGTCTCTCTCTCTCATCATCATCACGATGGCTATGAGATGTTAACTACCTCGCCTGGTGTACAGGAGGTTCGTGGGTTCGATCCTGACCCTGACGCCTGCTGTATATTTGGAGTTTGCGTGTCTCTCTTCCCGTGGCCGCGTGGATTCTCTCTCCAGGCTCTTCGGTTTTTCTATCCACATTTAGAAACACGCGTTTAGGGTATTTGGCTGCTATAAATTTCCACCTGATAAACCACTTCGTCCAGCTATCATTTGTGGCCAGGTCACTTCTGAAAAAGAGTTATATAGCTCAGTGGGCCTTACCTGGTAAAATTTAAAATAGTTCCGTTTAGGTAATAATTCACAACCATATGTAATTTAATTGTCACAAACCGATTGTTGTTTGTTTCATATTTACACAATAATTTATATTATTTCGTGATTATTTTCTGCCACGTGTGCACAGATTTGTTTGCTCGATTAGCCTAAATGTTAAATTAGTTTAATTTATTTATTTGGGATGAAAAAAAATCCGAATCATCCGTTTTATGGGGTGGAGCGTTGCTCATCTCCTTGGGTGAAACTACAAATTCCTATGTCTGGGGAAAGTTTATCCAAAAAACAACCGCTACTGACTTCCATCAAAGTGGTAGTAATTTTATTAACCCCGGAGGAATGATGAGTTCAACCAGGATTTTAACTCGCCGTCTTCCAGTTTTTCAGTTGAGAGTTTTAACCGCAGCAGCAGCAGCACCGCCTCTCTGCTCCCTACCACCTGGTAAAGAAAACGTAATAAAAATCTAAAGCATCGTTTTTGCATTGCCTGCAGTTGCGTTTTAATACATTCACGCCTGCTCTGTTGTCAGAGAAGGCAAAAAGCCAATTCTAATTTCCACCCCCCCATCGTTTTTACACTGGCATAAAAGGTCCCGTAGATACGTTGTTTGCATTAATTGCCCCCTGGTTATGAAACGTCCGTGAGTGACACACAAATAGAGTTGCAGTCGATGCCATTTGTCTTCAGAAGCGCGGGCGGTAACCGCCCCTCCGCCATGGCTTGGGACGTGGCCCAGCGTCTGGGTGGATTCTTGCCAAAGACCCTCTTCGCTTCGCGAAGCTATTTTTTTTAGTCTGAGTTTGCAAACTGATGCGATGCGTGCCCGCCCGGTTGTTGCGTGATGCACAAACGCGGCTCGCTTTGTCTGCCCACACCGGCTAGGGGTGGAATCTCTGCCAGTGGTCGCGAACGTTGCATATTGGACGCACGTGAGTGAAATGTGGAAAAAGAAAAACAACTTAGAGCCATTGAACAGACATCAAAGGCAGTTTCTCGCTTACTTGGCTTCCCTGGGACAATTCCAAATAAATATAAATAGTTAATACGTAAAATTGTGGGAGCAGAGAGAACATTTGGTACTGGACTGCACGTGGCAAGTTTATTGTTTGTTTCTTTATCATCGATACTTCATCTTGAATAAGCGAACCTAGGAGCATGATTATCTACATTACTTCTTGCAATTTGAAAGTTACATAATTGTTCTTGGTTACATATCCATACTTCCGAAGGGTTCAATGTCATTTGGACTTTAGTCGTGCATTGGCAAGTTTCACAAAACTGATCATGTATTCGATAGTTATTGGACATAAACGTGAGTGGTAACTGCTCGCAGTGGTGTCATCGAAATAAAGAGAATATGCCTCCATGATTTAAAAAAAAACCCCATCACAATGCTTCTTGTATGTTGGGGTGAGTAATGGTGCAGTGGTTAGAGCCCCGACTCTGCGATGAGACTTGCGAGTTGTGTTCAATTCCTGGCCATGGCTCAGCATCATTGGTGGCATGTGAACCGGTGACGGGCCCAGCCCCACGACCGTGTCTTCCCCCAACCCGCCCTGACGAGGGAAACCAAAAATGTCAACATTTTGTTTCATTCACGCTAACACAACTGACATTGAGCAGTGCTCATCTCCGATGATGGCACAGAGTCAGCGGTGGACAGAGGAGATCACCAGAGGAGACAAGTCTCCCCATTGGACACTCACTTGTTAGCGTCCCGCAAAAAAATTGTACTTGGTGAATCCCAGAGGGATGATTTCACTGATGTACCTCCTGACCGCAATTTGAACTCACAAACTTTCGATTGTGAGCCGAGCGCTCTGCCACAGAGCCACTCTATGGGATGCGTACCCACAGGGTGGCTCTGTGGCAGATCTTCCTATAGAGATCTCCATTTGGAGATCCCCTCTAGAGATCCCCTCTAGAGATCTCCCTCATTGATCCCTGAATCGTGCCTGTGATCTGTGACAATTGGTGTAAACGTAGAGGGCCTTCTCGGGTGTGGCGCCTAAGATGTGGAACTCTCTTCCACTGGCCCTCAGATTGGCTCCGAGCACCGAGGAGTTCGGGAAACTCTGCAAGATCTCATTTTATTAATTTGAGCGTTTTCCTTGAGTATGTCCCCGCTTTGTAATATATATTTTTTTATATGTGTCTTGATTGTATAGGTAGGACTACCTTTGTTTAATTAACACTGTAATGTATTGCCATGCCTTGTTTAGTAGGGGGGGGGCGAGTTTTTACCCCAAAAAATCAATGGAATGCTTGAATGAACGAATGATGACGCGCCTACCGCATACACATTGAATCTGCAAATAAATACTGTGCACGGTAAACCTTGCAAGGCAAGGTAAACCTGTCATATTTGCGACGCTGCCATTGTACACCTGGACGTTTATCAGCACAGTGCAAGAAAGGTGTTCAGCGAGTCGCAGCTGGCAGTGTTGAGAAACGGCGCAAGACGGTGGGAGCGTTCTATTCGTTTGCTAAAAAGTGTCCCCGCGGGAGTGGGATTATGCACACGCCATTGTCGTGGCTCCGAATAGAGACCGAGCAAAGGCCGCAACGAAAACTTAGCGGCAGGCGGATATTTTGAAGCCGCTACAAGTCAGGGAGGCTTGAGAGTTAAAATTGTGGCTTTCACGGTCGACTCCGACGACTCGTCATCCCTCCAGCGTCGCTAAACGAGCACTGCTTTGATGGAAATGACACGTGGAGGCACTGACCTCTTGACACGTGACACGTGCGCGGAGTTTCCACCACTCTCTTGCCCGAGAGGCAGCACACGAGGCAAGTGTTGCCCGATGCTTCTGTTTCACAGCCACCTGGCCAACATTGCGCTGTGTGCGCGCGCAAGAGGCTCTCTGAAAAAGGAATGAACTTCGGCTGGGCGTGTTTGGGGGCGCTGTAATACAATAAAAGCTGACTGAAATAAAAGCGGCGCAAAGCCAACCAAATAAAGGGCCCATTGCGTGAGAATCTCGAACCACGAATGAATCGTTGGCATTGACTACATGTTGTTATTGATTTTGCTCAATGATTTGGCCACAACGGCGCCTCACGCCGCTCCCCGCTCTTACTCTTAAACGGGAATTTGTTTAAGTTTAAAATCAAATACATTTGGAAAAAAAAATAATCCACACTGTATTGTGGGCAAGGAACCCAGGGGTGTGGCATCCCTCAAACCTTAATGGAGCTCATGCACAGTTAATTATTTTTGGTATCATAAAAACATCATGTTTATTCGTTTCATTTGTATACTGTAATATACTCCATGGCACAAATGGAGATTTTTACGTATTTCAGAAATGTGTCGTTAAAAAACCGAATTTATATATTGGCAGCTGTCTGCATAAGCACCTCCGATTGAGCACGGTTGTCTAGGTAGGGTGCGAAAGAAGTTCAACACACACACATACACAATACGTCACGTGGCACATATCTGGAATAAACATCAATATTAACAGATTGGGAACAACAGAGTGATATGTGTCATTTGTATGATTGGTGCGTGTTTACACGTGCAGGCACGAATAATAATTGTAATCATTATGCAATCTAATTCTAGTCTGCTACCTATTCCAAGTATGATTTAAATAATGCATAATAGTTGTTTTTTGGGTTAGATCGAATAAATATAAAAATGTGTCGCTAAAACCGCCACCACCCGACACAGCCAACTAGTAAGGGTTGTACAACATTTACAATCCGAGTTCGACGTTTCACCATTAAATACAACTAGCTTCATCAGGCGACAGCCAGATTTGTTGTGGCTTGGCTCTCCAACACACCGGTGTGCTGTACTTGTGACGAATTGGCACGTTCTGTTTATGTGACAACCCTTACTAGTTGGCTGTGTCGGGTGGTGGCGGGTTTTAACGACACATTTATATATTTACGCGATCTAACCTAAAAAAAACCCCTCTCTATTATGATTTAAATCGTCAATGTTGGGATCACTGGTGCAACTGTACACACAGTAAAACCGTATATTTTGTACTGACAGTGTTGCATATTAGGGGCTGTAACAGTGCATATATGTTTTTGTAAACGTTACATTGAAAATGTAGCGTGCTTTGTAAAAGCAGACGTGTGCTCGTGTAGTTATCATTTGATTAATGTTTCTCTTTCTTCTCCCGTTGCTTTGCAGCTGCGAGCTGATATTGTGCCCAAGACTGCAGGTAAGGAGCGGTCCCACATTGCACATCAGGTCTGTGAGTGTGTGAATGTAGTGCTGCACGACCACACTAGTAACCGGGGGGTTCTAAACTACTGACCTATTTTTTTTATTTCAGCAGGTAAGGCCCACTGAGCTATACAGCCCTTTTTCCGACGCGGCCTGGCCACAAATGATAGCTCAGTGAAGGGACATTATCACGCGGACATTTAAAGCAGCCAAAAACTCTAAACGCGTGCAGGGGAAAACTAAAGGAAGACCTGGAGAAAAATCTACACGATTACGGGGAGTGAGAACACGCAAATTCCAAATGTACGAGCGTCAGGGTCGGGATCGAACCCACGGCCTGCTGCAAATTGGGCGAGGTAGTCAACATCTCGCCAACGCGGCGATCTTGGCCACGCACACCAGTGGCAATTGGTACCTGTACTTGGTCCGACCCTCCTCTAGGTCGATTCAGCCTAAAGTGAGTACTTCAGAATCAGAATTGTATTTTTACAGGAGGAAACCGATGAGCTACAAAGCTCTTTTTCACAGATGTCCAGTAGGGGCGCTTAAGAACGTTACAACGTCAACAAACAATACAAAAATCACGACAGGAGTGCAAAGTATAGGAAAGGTAAACAAATAACTTAAACATATACAAATAAAACTACATTATTAGTTTTTATCTTAGCAGGCAAAGCCCACTGAGCACCTGTTGCAGTCAACGCCAGTAGTAAACAGGCCAAGTGGCAATGCATGCGTGTTGCGGGCTGTATCACTCTCGTGTGTGAGTTATTGTGGCTCTGCAGGCGCTAACAGCACCTTAAAGCATTGGCCTGCAGTCCACATGGGGATCTGCGTGTGTCGGTAGTGTCGTATTTGGAGCTTTGGCATAGCAAGTTCGATTCTCTGCCCAGTAAACTACCAGTTGTAATTGGTATCTAAATTTGGTCTGGGTATCCACTCGGGCAACAACTCGGCTCAAGATGAGTAACAGGCGTGACGGTATCATGAACATAACGTGCTACCAAATGCGTGTTCACGAGTAACATCTACCCCGAATTCTGTGCGTACTGCCCGTTCATTATGATGCCATATATATGTCAAAGTATCATTGTCCTAGCGAAATTTGGGATGCTGCCATCGATGCGATTTACTTTGTACAATGAAGTCCTCATTGTACTCGATTGACTCCAAATGGATGATGGGCTGAGTCAACAATGTCCAACCAGAATTAGAATTTGCAACCTTCCATCACAGTGATGAAATGTGCAGTGGATACCTACAGGCTATCTATAGATCGTGATGATGATAACGATGACGACGACGATGACCACCACAGTGGCACGTGACCCCAAACAAGTTCAAGGTTATTTTGTTTAGAACTCAGGTGAGAAATCAGGACAGTCTCAAACACCAAACACAGTATATATTCTTGGTTCTTTCGGTAGTCACGTAGAAGGGAAATAATACAATAATACAAATAAAACATATTTTTATGTTTTATTCTTTTTATTTTCCTTCTACGTGACTTTACCGAAAGAACCAAGAATATGAATCCCTGCAGTCACGAAAGCTTTAAATCAAAATTTAAACACAGTACAATTACACCGCACAGTATTGAAATATCTAATTTTCACTTCGTTGCTTGTGCCATGCGTTAGCTTTAACCAAAGTGATGCCTTCTGAATTATATTAAGTGCAGCGACGTACCAGGGTCAGGGGTGAGTGCTGTTCTTATAACTCGTGAGCCGAAAGATTACGTAACTGTCACCGCAGCCAGATTTTGCAACCAGCGCGCAAACTCGGACCATATACAAAGCCGCACGGTCGCGACTGACGTTGCCGGGACTTTAATGCCCCCAGTTCTGTTCGAATCTGAATGTCCAGATCGTCGCAGGAACTGAGCCATTAAAGCCTGCGCCGGCTGTCTCCCATACAAGCACGATGACCGACTACTTGGCTATCTAGTCCACCTGGTGTGAATATGCAGGCCTCTTATTGTTGTTGTTTCAGTTTTAGTACAGTATATCGCGCTCGGCTTTTTGCCATTGCAGGTTTTAAATAAAAAAAAATCAGGTGAGCGGAGCTTGGTGGAGGGGGGGAGGATCAGTGTTGTAACTCGTGGAGCGCATTTATAAAAAAAAAATATAATTAAAGCCGGAGTGTAAACGGCCGCACCTTCTGGCATCGAGACGACAACCCGCCCGAGACACCACACCCTTGACCTGGGGACACACTCTCGCACGCACGCGCACACACGTGCGTGTGCGCGGCTGTGCGTGTAAGGAGCGGTGACGTAGTGGGTTCGTGCGCTTGCTGCGCCGCGAGGCCGGCACACCCAGTGTTCATATCCTGTGAAAATGGAAATACATCGGCGGCAAGTGTTTTTAGTACCTGTAGCGGCCCTCCTGTAAGTTGGCTCAGCCTTAAAGCGAGAGTATGTGGCCTGATGGGGAGTGTACACGCCGTTGTTGTCGAGACCAGGGATCGGCAACCAATATAACAAGAGTATTTATTTTTTTCCGAATTAGGTGGGGGGAAAAAAAACAAACCCGCAATATTTAAAGAGCCGCAAAATATCTGAATAACGTCACGAGGCAGTCCCTAAAGAGCCGCATGTGACTCTGGAGCCACAGGTAGCTGACCCCTGGGCTAAAGCACAAAGACAGCGTGGCATCGTGCTGACTACACTGGCCCAGAGTGCTCGTTAAGAGCACTTATACCAACACTCTGTATAGGCTGTATGGAGATATTTGTTGGTGTGTGTGTAATGTTGTGATGGTGAGTGCCCTATCTTTGATCTCGGCAACTCCACTCGCAATCAGAAGATCTTGAGTTCAAATTCCCGAGGGAAATCCACATTGGTTGTCCTATTGAGAGACTGGTCTATTCCATAGCAATATAGACATTTCCACCGCTAGCTTCCGTCCACCAACGTCCATTGGCAACACCCAATGCTCATTTGAGAGTGGAAGTTCGATGCCTGGCATTGCACGCAAGTCGCAGTTTTTTTTTATTTAGCCTGAACTTCCCCTAGGTCAACTCGGCCTGATTTCAACTCCCGGTGCATTGTGTAAATGCTCTCACTGGAGAGGCTTGGTGGCCAGACATGCACAAGACTCCTTCATGTGCCACGTTAACTATAACACGTGCTCACATTTGCCCCAATCGCCTATAAGGATAAATGTCGATCTTTATCCCCTTGTGTTTATGCCCTGAGCGGTGGTGTTAGTGGCGAATATTTTAACCAGTCCTGGGCCTCCCCTAGGTCGACTCAGCCTGAAAATCAGTACCTGGCGTGATGTGCAAACATCAGCATCGGGGGAGACAAAATTGACTGGGCGTGGTGCTGGCCCCCGGCCACCTCGCGTGCCCTGTGGGCCTCCTCCGTAGGTGCTCGCCAACAGCCCTTGCACTGACAGTTTGCAAAAGGCTACACGAGGGATTGTTGTCTTTGTTTATGCCCACGCTTGCACGCCAATGTGGGGCGTGTAGAATTTTCCTCTGGTATGCGCACTCTATTATCAATAGCCCAATGAGCAGCTACTTCTGCGCCAGTGAAAAGGCTCAGTCAGTCATTTTCAATCCTCGCGCTAAAATGCGCAATACGCATTAACCACAGCACGCCACCCACTTTGGACTGCGTGTCAAAGAACTTGTGACATCGTTCACGAGAGAGGCCCATCGTGCCGCACATTCTCATAGCCCAAAGCCCAGATATGTAAGCATTGCGTAAGTAAATCGCACGAAACTATAAACTATTAAACCATTTTTTTTTATTTCACCAGGTAAGGACCAATGAGCTATGTAGCCCTTTTTCAGAAGCGACCTGGCCACAAATGAGAGCTCAACGAAGTAGCTTGTCACGTGGAAATGTATAGCAGCCAAACACTCTAAACGCACGTTTCTAAATGTGGAGGGAAAAACTGGAGGACCCGGAGAAATATCCACGCGACCACAGGGAGAACACGCAAACTCCAAATATACAGGAATCAGGGTCGGGATCGACCGCTTGTATTCCAGGCGACGTAGTTAACATCCCGCCATCATGGTGCTGGAGTGATATTCAAGCGGTCTGTGCTCAAACGGGCATCGGATTAGTCTCATCTATTCATGGCCCTGAGTCAGAGCTGGAATTTCCATATTCCATGGACCAAGTGAATGCTGTCCAAACACTGTTGGTGTTCACTTGGTGGGGATCGTATTATTTGCTCCAGAATAGGGGCCTCAGATGGTCTTGGCTGGGAGTGGAACTCACACACTCATAATCGGGAGCTCAATACTAAACTGTATCCTGGGTAAATGTGAATACACGACCATCTAAATACGAATGGAGTGGTGGAACAGGGGTGGGAATACTATGCTCTGAATCTGGTGACCCCTGGCCCCCCTATTGCCAATCCGTATTGACCAGTACAGTGAAGTATTGTCAAACAACCCCGTGATCAACATGGCATGGGGAGGCATTTATCCAGCAGTAAGCTGACTTAGGGCTCTAACGCATTAAAAAAAATACAATCTATATACACAATGGAGTAACTCCCCTACATCCCTACATATAGAACGCCCATACAGGAATAATCGATTATTAAACAGTTTGAATTTTCACAGTCGTTAAAGCTGTGCGGTTGAATGCCGACGTTCTGTAACAGATAGGGAAACTTGTGCTAAAAAAAGACTCGAAAAGCTTGAGTGATCTTGAACAGAAGCCTTCAAAACAATCACGGCCGAGGTGCTGGTGGAACACCCGGGAGTCTTGAACATCCATGCGATGTGTGCGTCGCCAATGTCTTGGCAGATACACGCCGAGTTTAAAGGGATGATATTCGGGTGATATAGTTTCACACTACAAAGTACATTGTAAGTGCGACATTATAATATACATTACAAGGTCGCATTCGTTACACACAAAGTGCTTGCCACAAATGAACCACAATTACCTTGCTGATCTCGTCAAGGGACATAAACCATCATCACATGAACTCCGGTCATCCTCGCAGCGACTTTTGGCTGCCCATTGAACAAACACGGTCGCTGCATCGCACACTTTCACATGTGTTTCTGCGGCCGTCTGGAATGCTCTTCCTTCCGATATTAGGAAGGCACTGGAGCTATGCAAGTTTGAAAACTTATTTCTTTAAAACTGCTTTTTGTGATTACTTTTTTTTACTTCCCCCGCACCTTCGATTAGCACGCTTGGCTATGTACGGTGCAAAAGAAGTTCAACATACATACAAAGTGTGCGCGTGGTTATAGTTTTAGCGACCTTTATTTACTATTATTACGCTTGTTTAATCCAGGAAAGTCTCACCGAATCTCTTTTTCAAGAGTGGCGGTGGTGGGGCGATGATGATTCTAGATTTGAAGTTTTCGTGACTGCAAGGATCCATACTCTTTGGTTCTTTCAGTAAAGTCACGTAGGTAAATAATAATAATAAAATAAAATAAAAAAATACGTGATCTGATCCCATCCGTAAAGAATGTCATTCCTGACTTACAGTACCCTGGTGTCTACAAACTGAGTTGTATTTGTGGCGATTGTTATATCTGACCGCATTAGCGAGCACAAGTCAGATTTTAAAACACGGTAGGACAAATTCTTCTGCCGTGGCTGACCACTGTTATAACTCTGTGGGCACTCGTGATATTGTTTTTTTTCCGAGACCAAGGTGCTCTGCAAACCTTTGGGCTACTACCAAAGGTTTGTTCCTGAAGCCATCCAGATATATAAACATAGACATAACTTCAACCGAGAAGATGGGTACGAATTGAGCAATCATTGGAAGGATGTTATTAACCAGGTAAAACCTTAACTGCTTTATAGTTTGCCTTCGTATCCGCATCGCCAGTTTCTTCAGCCTCCTACCCTCCAGTCCCTCTCACTTCCCAGAACCGGCATTTTGTCGTAATCGAGCTCGGATTGGACGTGATGTGCTCGGGTTGGAGCTTGCACTTGCAAGCCCCGGCAATGTGTCGAGCTTGGGCTCGGGTTGGACGTCCCACTTCTCATTGTGTGGAGCTTGCACTCCGCCACTCCCCCTACCCCACACCCTCACCCCCTCTCTCTCTCCTCCCTGGCTCCCCCCCCCCCCTCTTACGTATATATAGCCTCGTGTCACAAGTAGCCTCCTCTTGCCCATTTTCAGCAATTTGTTTATTGCTGGGGTTGTTTCCACCTGATGACGGGCACTTGTGTCGCGCCCGAAACGTCGCGATGATGACTGCTATATGTCATCCTAATTGAGTAATTTTCGGGTATTTTTAAAAATTAAATATAAATTTGGCCTGCTCTTTTGCGAAAGACGTCACGGGATCTGTAAAGTCCACTTTCAAGCGGATGGCGCGTATTTTAATGGTTAAAACGCACCGCCATGTTAATGTTAGGTCAAACCTACTGTCTAATTATAATTAAAAAATAACGACAGTAGAATGTATTATTATGGATACCCCGGTGCATATAGCCAGGCAGTGGTGTCTATGCACGTGGCCTATAATACAGCACTGGAGGCGTGGGTTGGTTGATCACACAAATGTTGTGAAACTTTCTTCACATGTCCATCTGTATGGGTATCGAGTGTTGCACCCTCGCACGCGTGGGTTTTTCTCCAGGTGCTCCGGTTTCCTCCCACTTGTACAATAAACACTGATTAATTGGCAGAACACATCTTAAAATAAAAGCCCAAATTTGAATCCTCCTGAAAGAGTCTGACGACTCAGTGTGACCTTCCTGGATAAATAATAATAATAATTATTATGACTACTTTATGTCAAACAATTTAGTCATATAGCAGGATATGGCTCAATTGGTGGGGCAGCACCTGGCTGCAAACATGCAGTTGATTTCATATCATGGCCAATGTTAGCTCACAGCCCTACCATCATCACTCTAGGGTCAATAAAGTAACTACTATCTGGTAAAACTGCACAACTTGGTGGCAGGCTGGTTCCTGCCATAGTAATTCCCAACTGGATCATGATGAGCCAGTAGTCCATGGAGCATAAGGGCATTATTATATTTGGTTTATATAAGTGAAGTTACATAGCTTCAAAAGCGGAGATAATTGTTCATATGATCTCTCACTCAGTTAGATAAAGAATACTCTACCATGTTCACAATTGTTTGCTCCTCCAAGAAGCAGAGACTGGATTCCGCCCCGGTACACTGAATCTGGAGGCATGTGTACAATTGCTAACGTATCGATGCATTTGGAGAAAGCGGGTGTTGTTTTTTCTGCACCTTTTTTTTAATAGAAAACTTCCGCGCTCTGTGCACCGGGGAAAAAGGCTTCGGGTACAAGGGGTCTAAATTCCACCGTGTCATTCCAGGGTTCATGTGCCAGGTAAGACGGCTACAACTGGAGTTTGTTCCGCTGGTGCACATCCAGAAACACTTAAACATTTTCACTTTCTGCCTCTATATGCCACTACTGGGAAATGTTATTCTATAAATAATGACATTTTAATATTTAAATAAAAAAATGAAGGCTGTTCTTTTTTTGGGAGAGCTTTCAAAACGTATCAGTTTTCGCAGAATCAAACGCACACCAATGGGGGAAAAAGTGAATCGGAAAAGGAGATGCTCTCGCGAGCAAAGAATCTTCAAGACGATGTTAGCTTTGTGTAATGAGATTAAAATAGGACTTTAAAGTCGCGGTTAGGTGCTTCCCAGTCAAGTTACGAAGGGGTGACTCATATTAATGTGCAGTACAGTAAAGTCACTAAATCACTCCTCATCGTGACTTTTTAAAGTGCCTTTGTTGTTGTATAATAAAAACATAAAAACCAGTTTGAGACAGCCCAGAACACACGGCTTAGGTGGATGTATTCAGGATAAGGGTTGTCTTAAAAAAACACTTTCAAAAGTCACGATGAGGAGTGCTTTAGTGACTTTACTGTAGAATTTAAAGGCATCACATCTTGGTAACTTCGCTAGAGAGCACTTGACTGAGACTTTAAAGTCAAGATAAGTGCTGTGTCTTTTTGGTTTGTGTCTCCCATTCAATCAGGGTGGGAAACCTACAGCACTTTTGCTGTATCTGGCCCGCGACTTCATGAAATGTGGCCCACACACACATAATGCCTGCTGCCACTTTAATGTGGCCCACAAACTATACATATCCATCCCAGCAAGCGTCTTAGCAGCTCCGATTGAGTACTACCTTTGATGTGGTAACGCTGGGTTTTAAATGTTATCGCGCTAGTTTACTGCTATCACTGCCAAAGGTTGTGCGAAAGTCCTAATTGGCCCTCAGTAAGCACATAATTCTCCACCCCGACGCTAAATGTAAAGACCAAGCACAGCAGTATGTTATTCTTCATGAGTTTTTTTTTAATGTGTACCGTGTTGTGATTTAAACCATTTTTAGAATGTCCGCACCTCCGATCAGCACGTTTAGCTACGTGTGGTGCAAAAGAAGTTAAACATGCATGTATACATTTTAATGTTTTAATTCACGTGACTTTTGGAGAATATGGTGCATCAACTGGTGGTCAGCCCCAGTCTTCTCTGATGCTTCACCAACACTTAAGAGCCCGATACATATATTAGTGAATTTTTTTTTCATGTGATTAAAAGCGTCCTTTTTTCCCTCAGTTTTATTCCAATGGCGCTATTTGTAAAAAAAAAAATGCACGACAATAATTTTGCAATCAGAACCCTCATAGTGCAGTCAATACTCCCGAGTGTTAGAGAATGGCCCACGGAAGGTGATGTCAGAGAGCTACTCCCAAGATCCCTTCAAGTTACCGTTTTACCCACACTAGGGGGGCCAACACACTCCCACATGCCCTGAGATGTTCCATGTGTCCCACTGGCAGTCAAAGCAACTCGTTTTTAATCCTCGGAAAATGAAATGTATTCAAATTAAGGTGAAAAAAAAATCCCCGAATTTATTGTGACGGGTGTTTTTTGAGGGTGCACTGTTATGGCCATTGAAACTGAACGTAGGAGGAGAAGTAGAAGGTCAAACAAAACGAGCCATCGATAACCACAATTAGCATGACGAAGAAAAGTTAAAAAGGGATGAATGTACAAAGACAACACGGAACTTTTATGTAGGAATTGAATGAGATTACAGATCCTCGAAGACAAAGTGATTGGCGGTTGATCATAGTGAACACAGACAAAGTGATTGGCGGTTGATCATAGTGAACACAGTGAGCATGGCATCAGCAAACATAACAATTATCAGCGCTTAAACAGTCAGATGGAACCACAATGCGAACAATTTGTTCACAACAAATATGCCGATGTGACTTCTCACCATCGGTGGTGGAAATGATCAAAGCAATGCAACTCGGCAGGTTATTTTTTGTCACGATGTGAAATTAGTCTTCTTTTTCCCCCTCTCAAGACTTTGCTATACAATTCACATACAGCACCTTCACATAGGAATGAAGTGCGATGCAACTGCTGCATTCTCACATCTCCAGGAGAGTAAAGTCAACTTCATGATGGACAAGTTCCATGGTGACATGAAGCACCAGCCTGCAGGGGAATGGGGTTCTACATGTAGAGGGCAGTCAGCCAAGTAGGTTTGCAATATCTGTGAAGTAGGGATGGGTTTTTCGTATCCTATTTTGGATATTAGATTATTTTCTATTTTTTATTTTATTTTATTCGGTTCTTTGTTCATGCATAATAGAGGTTTTTTTTGGGTTAGATCGCGTAAATATATAAATGTGTCGTTAAAACCCGCCACCACCCGAAACAGCCAACTAGTAAGGGTTGTTACATAAACAGAACATGCAAATCCGTCACTAGTACAGCACACCGGTGTGTTGGAGAGCCAAGCCACAACATTTACAAACTGAGTATGACGTTTCGCCAGTAATTACAACTAGCTTCATCAGGCGACAGCCAAATCTGGCCTATTATCTTTGTTTATGCACAATTTCTAGTGATCCTGAATATCATTAATTGAATTGTATTTTCATACAAAGTTCCATTAAAAACATAATTTTAACGTCAGTATTTTATTATTTTAATGATGTAGGCAAAAGCGATGTCAAGCGTTGTTGATAAAGTGCCATCAGGTGATGACAATATTTTGTACGCAGGCCTGATTTATTTTAATTTTACTTTAAATGCCTTATACGCACGCCGACTGTGCAGTGTTTGAGCGGTCTACAATGTTCCCTGAGTTTGTTCCCCTCTGGGTTACCTGAATTTTCATAGCTGTCAACCCATACGGTTTAGCCGTAGTCTTGTACAGGGACGTTGAGTATCCAGGTCCATACGGCGTACGGCCGTTTCAATACGGCCCAAAAAAATGTCTATTTGTTTGTGTTTCTCTCTTGTGATGGGACTTTGTAGGATGAACGTTGAGATTTATAAGGGCACGGGGTGACCAATAAGGTCTGAATTGGTCTGTAATAAGTTAGGTCACTGATAAGGGGTTGACAGGTGTGGGCTTTAAGACCACGTGCGGAAATATGAAAGAACGAATTTGACTCGGGAACTCGCCTAGGCTTTCCTGGACTAAGGGCAGAATTGCAATTATTATCGTACGTGGAAGAACCATAGGAGTTGGCTCAACTGCTCTATAGCCAAAAGCTTGTATAATAGCTAAATAAAGAAATAGATAAATAAATTTAGCAAACTTTGCCAGGCCATGGCTCAAGTACCCCCCCCCACACACATGTGCAAACAGCTACCGTTGGAGCTGTGGTTTGGCTTTAGGGGTACAGTGCGGCAATTGTTGGGCTAGAAGTGCCTTCAGATCCCATCGGAGGGCACCGTTGGCTATGAATCATAGCTCTCCATAGCGTGCTGCTGTTTTTTTATCAATCAGAATCCCAACTCAGACAGCCTTTAGGTGTTTTTTTATCATTTAGGCTGTTGGGGATGATTGCGTATGGGGAGGGGTAGTGTAGTGGTTAGCGCACTGCACTATGAACCCTGGCCACCCGAGTTCGATTCCCTCTCACGGCCAACACCAGCGACGATTATCTGCACTGGTCCTGGGCCTCCCCTCGGTCGACCCAGCCTCAAAATGAGTACCTGGTGCGGTGTGTAAATATCGCCACTGGGGAGACAAAGGCGGCCGGGCGTGGTGCTGGCCACCCACTCCGTTGCGGCCTTCGTAGGTGCTCGCTAACAGCACGTGCCCCAACAGTCTACGAGGGATATTTGTCTTTGTTTCTCCAAGCAGGGTATGTGTGTGTGTGTCTTTGAACCAGTCCTTAAGTCTCCAGTAAGTCGACTGAGCCCCAAATGAGTACCTTTTGCGATGTGTAAGCATCGCTACTTGGGGTGACAAAGGCGTGATGCTGGCCACTCCGGCCTTCATAGGAACTCGCTATCAGACCTTGCCCCAAAAGTTTCAGGCTATATGGGGCATCTTTGTCTGTGTACTTGTCCACAGATACATTTTTAGTTTCTGTGTAAATTACACGACGACATGTTCTGTAAAAAAACCCCCTACCCACACTGTTTCTATATTGGCCGGTTTGGCGGGATGTGCCTGCTTCACTTTGCAGACAGAAGTCACCATTCCCGAATGCAAAGCCGAGCCACAACATTGAGTAGTGCAGTTGTTCATTAAAACTGTTATTTATTTAAATACACTGCATATGCTTGGATGATTAATATCACCAATGATTGCACCACCTGCTCCAGTATGGCTGTGGGAGTTATGGTGCGAGGTGAATGCCCACTGAAGTGACTCCCTGCCAGGGCAGATTTTGTGCACGCGAATTTGGGGTCTGTTTTTAAAGCTGTTGTGAAATTGCGATTCCACAAAATGGATTTTCAAAAGCGTGTGCTCTTTGGGCTCCCACTCGAGTTAAATGGGCCACTTTTGGGCACGTATGCCCCCCCCCCCCCCCCCCCCACCAAAAAAACCCCCCAACAATCCGCCAGTCCGGCTCCCCTCTGCAGGAAGTAGGGTGACAACACTGGCGTGGAAAACGCCGCAGTCAGAGGAGGCTGATTAACGTGGTGAGGGTTGCTCAACAGAAACCCACCACAGACTTAGATCCTGAGTTCTCATCTGGATTTTTTAGTCACCCAGAGAGAAAGTATTGGCATTAAACAGATTGTTTTTTTTTTCATCACGATGATGAAACAATAAGAATAGGTTTCACCTTTCGTTTTAAAGCTTTCGTGACTGCAGGGATTCCTATTCTTGGTTCTTTCGGTAAAGTCACGTAGAAGGGAAATAATAAAATAATAATAAAAAACCAAGAAAAATGAATTGCTGTGGTTTTCACACCTGATGATGATTGCTTGTGTTGCAATCGAAACGTCGTGATAATTGTATTGTTTTATTTTTCTAATTTTATTATTTCCCTTCGACGTGACTCTACCAAATGAACCAAGAATAAGTATTATCCTTTCTGGCAATACAACGGTAGGTGTTAAGATGTTCAAATACCAAATAGATACATTTTTCGGGTCATCAAGTGTGCATTAACCACACGTACTCGTGGCAAAACATGCAAACACCCATGCACCCTCTTTATGGCCTTATCTCACCAGTGTTCGACTAGCGAACGTCAAAGACAAAATACGTATCATAACATTTATAGCTCGGGTTGAGCGAGTTATATCTATGGGAAACTTTTTTCCAGTGTCAAAATGATGAATCAATAAGAATAGCTTTCATCCTTTCTCGCAAAAAAAAATCTACATTTTGTTTTACAACATAAACCCGCCATCTAGTGTTGGATAAGTGTTAATTAAAGTGACTTCACAGGAGTTCCGAGACATTCCCAAGGACTGTTCTGACAACTGTTGGTGGCACTCCGCTTCTTTGTGGGTGCGCATTCGGAATGGGAATGTCTGTTCCACATGCCATTGACGCTGACGGTGCAATAGGAATTAACAGCTTAGTTGGTGGCAAAGGAAAAACAAGAGATGCGACTCCCACCAACAATTAAAAGTCAATAAAACTCGGCCTCATTCATCTTTGTGCTTCAGAATTAATCTCCAAGACTTGGAGGGCCATACTAACCCACCACCGAGACGCTTTAGGGTTTAAAGTTAATATCCGATTTTATATTGGCTGACCGAGGCGCCTCTAAGATTCCTAGATTTCAGCTTTAATTCCAGAAATCAAGGCCTACAATGCAATACTGAAAGGTGTAACTTTGTCTTACGCAGCATTGAATGTAAAGCAGGAAAATAATGTAACGGACCGCTATTCCACATAGTTTTTTGTTAAATATTGTGTATCACGTTAAATTACTTTGCTGTACAGTTTCTATTATTTAAGTAATGAAATTCACAGACACTAAGCATAGGCATTCATTATCAGATATTTAAGTGCAATGCAGCTCTGGTTGTCCAGAGGAAAGGTGAATAGGTTGGTATAACATTGTGCCTCATGTGACACAATAATGGGTTGCTATTACACATTGCTCACCATTGCTTGTAATCGGGTCTATATCTCTTCACCTTTGTCAAATTGGCGACCGCTTGTTTCATGTGTGACTGTGCAAGCTTTTGCGGTGACTGAAAATAATTGGGCGAGACTCCAGGCTAAAATAACCATCATTGGTGCTTTGATAAATAAGTATGGATAGTGTTATAAAATTACAGATAACGTTACATTGGAATTACATTTGAGAGACGGAGAAAGGAACGCGCGTTAGAGAACATACTCGGGTAAAATACATGATTGTAATTGTTTAGAAAAGTAAGTTTGACTTGGGTAGGACACGTGACGAGAAGGGATAGCCATTGGTCAAGAATGATCACGGAGTAACAGTCGAGGGATGCAGTGCGTTCCAAGAGGATGTCCATACTGAGGAGATGGAGCAATACAGTCAGCTTTGTGTGCAGGTGCCGATGTGAAGCACGGGAAGCTGACGGTGAACTGCTGAGAAGAATGAACGTAGCCTATGACTGTTCCCTGCTGATTCCTGCTGTCGATTTCCTCAGGGTGGAGACTTCACCAAGGGCAACGGAACTGGGGGCAAGTCCATCTACGGCAACACGTTTGAGGATGAGAACTTCACGATGAAGCACATGGCCTCGGGTGAGAATAAGATTAGGTTGATAAGAGGGCTTTTGTAGATGACTCTCAATGTGTGTGCCTTTGATCGTGTTTTAACTTGCCATTTTCATTGCTGTGGAGATGCATTTTTGTGGTGTGTGGGTACCTCCACAGCTTTACAAGATTCCTCGTGTTGGCCCTGCCAGCAGTGGCGTGAACAAGCAACGTCAGGGCTGCATCTTTAACTTTAGATATCGTCTGCCTATGACCAAATTGCCTGGAATGTTGATCTCATCCGATTGTAAACAAGTTTGAGGATTTCGATTTAAAGCTTTCGTGACTGCAATGATTCATCTTCTTTGGTTCTTTCGGTAAAGTCACGTAGAATGAGAATAAAATAATAAATTGATAAAATAAAATAACACAATAATATTCTCACGACGTTTCGGCCACAACACAAGCGGCCTTCATCAGGTGAAGGGAGCGAGACTGTCTGGTAGGACAGCGCTGGAGTGAGAGAGCCACGTTCAGATCACGGCTTTTAAGCTGTGTGAGAGGAACAAAGAGCCTTGACGAAGGAATTAGCATAAAATTTAGCATTGAAAAGGCTGAATGATTAGCTTGTGACTGGTCACAGAAATAGCTATGTTAAAAGTTAAAGCATACACATCCGCAGAGGCACCCATTGTTAAAAGGAATTAGCATAAAATTTAGCATTGAAATAGCTAAATTAAGGCATTCGCTTGTAACTGCTACAGAAATAGTTACGTTGAAGTCAGAGCATACACATTCACCAAGGCACTTAGTACAAATCAAAACAGGAGAATTTAGCATTGAAATAACTAGGCGAATTTAGCATTGAAATAACTGGGTGATTTGCTAGTGACTGGTCACAGAAATGACTACAAATCTGAGCTATTCACAGTACTATATAGTGAACCAATAAAAACTAAAATATAAATTACCTTCATGTTATCAATAAACTCTATATTCTCCAATCAGCTAAGCTACCAACCATAAGTCGTTATATATCACAATGCTATATGGCGAAAAAATGGGTGGATTCTTACCCTCAAATTTCCGTACCACGGATAGCTACGGGCCCCGTTCAGACGGACGAGTTCGTCCATGGTCGGAACAGAGGAGGGGGAGAGAGACAGCTGCGAAGCCCTAGTATACTCCATGTTGTAAACCATACCATTAACCGTGGTGTGAGAGGTATTAAGAGGCAATGCTGGCGAAAGAGCTGCGGTCTGAAGGTCATCGTAAAATTACAATTAATTAAGAACAGAAATGATTTAACACATCTTTCCAGTGGTTACTGAGCCTGAATCCATCTTCTCGGTTGAAATTGTCTCTGTGCTTGTATATGTGAATGGCCTCATGAACGAATCTCTCATGGTAGCCAGTTGGTTTGCAAAGAACCTCCGTCTTGGAGAAGTCAATGTCATGTGAGCCCACTGAATTGTAACAGTGATCTGCCACGGCAGAGGAGTTCGTCTTACCGTGTTTCAAGTCTGCTTTATGTTCGCGGATGCGATCCGAGATATGTCTTTTGGTTTCTCCAATGTAGCTACTACCACAGAGGCACTTTAGTTTGTAAACGCCCATATAGCATTGTGATATATAACGACTTATGGTTGGTAGCTTAGCTGATTGGAGAATATAGAGTTTATTGATAACATGAAGGTAATTTATATTTTAGTTTTTATTGGTTCACTATATAGTACTGTGAATAGCTCAGATTTGTAGTCATTTCTGTGACCAGTCACTAGCAAATCACCCAGTTATTTCAATGCTAAATTCGCCTAGTTATTTCAATGCTAAATTCTCCTGTTTTGATTTGTACTAAGTGCCTTTGTGAATGTGTATGCTCTGACTTCAACGTAACTATTTCTGTAGCAGTTACAAGCGAATGCCTTAATTTAGCTATTTCAATGCTAAATTCTATGCTAATTCCTTTTAACAATGGGTGCCTCTGCAGATGTGTATGCTTTAACTTTTAACATAGCTATTTCTGTGACCAGTCACAAGCTAATCATTCAGCCTTTTCAATGCTAAATTTTATGCTAATTCCTTCGTCAAGGCTCTTTGTTCCTCTCACACAGCTTAAAAGCCGTGATCTGAACGTGGCTCTCTCACTCCAGCGCTGTCCTACCAGACAGTCTCGCTCCCTTCACCTGATGAAGGCCGCTTGTGTTGTGGCCGAAACGTCGTGAGAATATTATTGTGTTATTTTATTGTATCAATTTATTATTTTATTCTCATTCTACGTGACTTTACCGAAAGAACCAAAGAAGAAGTTTGAGGATGATAACTTTTTTGATATACATTAGTGCCCTTTACGCGGAGGAGGGGCATGTGGTGGAATTGAAACAACTGGGCCTTCGTTTCTCATTCAATATTTCTTTCGGAATGCTGCTAGCTGGAACGCGTGACGTCCCCCCACAAGGTTCCGTAATTCGACGCCATGGACATCCGTGCGTCATTGAGGTTTATCGTACGGGCGAGGGAAGTTACGTCTCGGGACATCTGGCAGCCCTGAAAACTCATCGCCCGACGCACATTTTCCTGCACACCATCGCACGAGCCCCCGCAGTACTATGAGGACGAAATAAGGAGAGATGCATGTGACCGGGTGCCCAAATAATTCCTCGAACAGCTTTCCGGACTGTTCCGGCTGAAATCATGCGCTTGCGTGTAACGCTGCGTGTTGCACCGCTCTACACACTCTGAAATAAGCATCCACAGTCGTTACGGATAGACCGGTCCCTGTCACAGAAAGATATAATTTATACATTCGGTATGGCTCTGGACTACCAAGGGAGATTAGCCCTAGTTATACTGTATCCCATTTCAGATAACAGAAACGTGACTGATTTTGAGCATTCCGAAAACATTCACAGTGCCACTTGATTTGCATTCTGGTTATCCTCGCAGCAGCTTTGGCTGGCCATTGAACAAGAGGGTCACTGCATTGTGTGCTTCCAGATGTCCTTCTGTGGCCGTCTGGAACGCTCCTCCGATATTAGGAAGCCGCTGGAGCTATGCACTTTTAATTCTAGAGTGAAAACTCGTTTCTTTAGAACTGCTTTTTGTGCTGAGTTTGTTGTCCTTCCCCCGCATCTCCGATTAGCATGGTTGGTGCGAAAGAAGTTCGACATACATACACAGAATGTGGTTTCATCCGGTGTATCTTCATCTGATGGCGTGACTCCGTAGTATTTTTTACTTGCCTGTGATTCGCTCTCCTGTCTCGCAGGCATTCTGTCCATGGCCAATTCTGGACCCAACACAAACGGCTCCCAATTCTTCATCTGCGTCACCAAAACCGCCTGGTGAGTGTCAAGCTTCGTGCGGCAGGAGCGATGCCGAAGAAGGGTCTGGGAGGTTTGCATGCGTTCCACTTGAAGCCTGCTGGGACAATGAGTGAAGTCAATTAATCGACATGAAATTGGGAATGACATCATTCATTGCCGTCAGTTACTCAGGTCCCTTAAAATATCCTGGCCGTTGTCATTAACATGTCTCGTGACTTGTAATCTGGTGGCGCACCGCTGTAATCCAGCGTTTTGGAGGCAAGGATTCATGTAACGGATTTAGTGTTTTTTTTATGTGCGCACATTATATGCTAATTTTACGTTTAGGCTAATCGAAGGAACAAAACTGTACAAACAAGACGAAATAACAGAAATAATATAAATTATAGTGTAAATATGAGAAAAACGAGAATCGTTTTGTGACAATTAAATCACGTAGGGTTGTGAATCATTACCTGCCCGTGGGATCAGGTATATTTCTAAAGCTTACAAATACATTTATTGGGCTGCAAGGTGGCTAGGAGATGGTCGTACATTGTTTCGGTATTTAACCCATCTGCGTGGATCCTGTAAGTGACAAGGTGGGTTTCCCCCACATACAAAACAATCCCGAACATGGATATCGCCGTTTTAACAATCCTCCTGAAAACTGGGTCTTGAGATTCAGCGAAGCTTTTGTGAACGTTAATATTATTATTATCATTACTCAACACCCACGTTATGCAATGAGACAAGGCAGAGTGTTGTAAGCCATATGAGCAAATGGTGTCTAAAAATCATACTCTGCGTAGGTTTTCTCAGGTGTGCTGGGTAGCTCTCCGATGTGAACCGAATTTAATTCAGTTCCCAAAGAAACCTAAATCATGTAATCTTCTTTGGTTCTTTCGGTAAAGTCACGTAGAATGATAATAAAATAATAAATTGATAAAATAATAAATTGATAAAATAAAATAACACAATAATATTTTATTTTATTTTATCAATTTATTATTTTATTATCATTCTACGTGACTTTACCGAAAGAACCAAAGAAGATGAATCATTGCAGTCACGAAAGCTTTAAATCGAAATCTAAATCATGTAAACTAAACTATTTTTTATTTCACCAGATAAAGTTCACTGAGCTATATAGCTCTTTTTCAGAAGCGACCTGGCCACAACTGATAGCTCAACGAAGTGGCTTACAATGTGAACATTTATTGTAGCCAAATACTCTAAGCACATGATTCTAAATGTGGACGGAAAAACCAGAGGACTTGGAGATAAATTCACACGACCATGGGGAGATCATGCAAACGCCAAATATACAGGCGTCATGGTTGGGATCGAACCCACAACCTCCTGTATACCAGGCGAGGTAGTTAACATCTCTCCACCGTGGAGCCAAACATCAGACATCATGCCGAACAACACACCGTGCAGCCCAAACACACCTCAGAGAGCTCAACTTTTATTCGTAAAAAAAAGACGTGTGTAACCCTGGCTCATGTAACTGAGAAAAGCAGCTGACTGAACCACACTGTCTTGTGATTCTCTCATTCTCAGGCTGGATGGCAAGCACGTGGTGTTTGGGAGAGTGACCAGCGGCATGGATATCATCACCAAAGTGGAGTCCTACGGAGATAGGAAAGACGGAAAGACTTCTAAGAACATCGTGATTGCCGACTGTGGCGAAATCAATTGAAGCAAACGAATGCATGCACTGCATTGCCTGGCGGTGTTTGGTGAGGTGGTGTGAGTTGGCTGCTGTTTCACAGGAATAAAGTGGCCCTGTTTTAGCTAACTTCAGCCAAATGTGAAGGAAAAGTAAATTATCTCCACCAAAAGTACATCCCCTTGAAATAGAAGTTTGATGCAAAGCAATGTTTTTCCAGACCCTTGACTGGACTTGCTCTACGTATCATCAAGTGACAAGCTATACAAGCTACTTTGAGAACATTGGCAAATAAGTTATCGAATGTGGCCTGAAAATACATTATACATCACTTTTGAGACGCTTTGCAAGTCATCAGTCAGTGTTCCCGTGCTCTGATAAGCATTGGGCAGTGCCCATCATCAATGTGTAAATTCCACATTCTCATAGCAGTAGCTCGTTTCTTCACCGACAAATATATTAAATTTACCCTGGCTGGGATTTGAACTCCTGTTTGGAAAATATCTTTCTCTGCCAGTTGAGCTATAACCCGGAGCCTTCACGCTGTACAACTTACTGTAAATGCGTGACACTTTGATGTGGTAATAAATAAGCACGGTACTTGCCTTCTCAATGTGATTACATAATTAATCACAATGACCGATGTATTTAATTTCTATATCGCAGTAAACAGCTAAATTACTCCGAATGCTTGATATGCAATTACGAAGATGTTAGTTGCGTACATTTTTGTCTTGTACATTTTCACGTCTGTGGGTTTCTCACCGTGACCTTCATGTTCGACTCATCCAAGCATCCAACTCGCACCGTAACAGCCAAACTGCCGATAAAAACCGCACGCAGGTTACCCAAGCAGTATAATCGCTCTCAGATTCCCGCACTACTTTGCTGCAAGATCGTTTTTTGTTATTTCGATCAATTTTGATTTGTGTCCTTGCTTTTTTTTTCTGCAATGATTTCAAAGCACAGCTTCTCCCCCGAAGTTGGAATGATGGTGGACACTGTTGTGTCTCTGTACTCATCATATGACCAGCAATAAAGTAAATCAGGAAAAACCCATCCAACACAATGTCTTGACAGGTTTTGTTTTTGCTTCACCGTAACGAATGTGAAAAAAAAATTCACCCTGAATATAACTGACATCACTTAGTCATACATATTACCGCATATGTTTTCACAGTTCTGCTGCAAAGCTATGCGATGTTTTTTCGGGTTATGCTCCTGCGTGTGGTTCAGCATGATGTCAAACGTTACATTCCACGTGCTTGGAGTCTTTTCATAATCGGCTCTTGAAGCTCCCAGCAAATGGGGGGAAACATTGGACATTTATGCCGAACAACACGCGGCACAACTTTAAAAACATTGGAGAGATATTAACGTCGTCATTTTGCCAAATCAGTCGAGTTCATTTTATAGAGGCCCTTCGTTGAATCATGTGACTGAATTTCCTGGAAACTATATTTTTCGATTTAAAGCTTTCGTGACTGCAAGGATTCATCTTCTTTGGTTCTTTCGGTAAAGTCACGTAGAATGAGAATAAAATAATTAATTGATCAAATTAAATAACACAATAATATTCTCACGACGTTTCGGCCACAACACAAGCGGCCTTCATCAGGTGAAGGTACGAGACTGTCTGACTTTACCGAAAGAAAACTATATTTTGATAACAAGTTGAAAGTAATATCTTTTTTTCTCATTTGAAATCGGCACTATGACATATGCACATTATGTGCTGCTCTTGCAAATGAGGATGCCCCATGATATTTGACATAAAACTCTTTGGTAACACTGAGCAAGCGTGGCTGAGATCCTGGACAGCCACTTGTAATTACCAACTATAATCACCCAGAAATGTCTGTCCGTCCCGTGCGTGACGTCACTCCACATGAGGCCCAGCCCCCTTCATTAATATTCATGAGTGGGTGGATTCTTACACGAACGCAGAGGAAGGTCGAGCTGAATTAAATAATTTATCACGCAAAGTCGCTTCAAATATGACGTTTTTTTTGACAGAAAGTGACGGTGAAAAATAAATATACGCAGCACAGTGCTACATCCGTGCGTAACGTCACTGCAAAAGAGCCCCCCCCCCTTCATTAATATTCATGCACGCGTGTAAATTTACACTGACGCACAAGAAGGTCGTGCACTCCCCTAATTAATAATCATGAGCGGGTGACGTCACTCCACGTGCTGCACCCTCCTACAGTAATCACGAGGGGGTGACGTCACTCTACATGCCGCACCCCTCCCCAATAACCATGAGCGGGTGACGTCACTCCACATGGGGCAACCCCCCCCCCCTCATTAATAATCATGAGCTGAACAATTTTTCTATTGAACATTTCAGATTTACTGCAATATACACCCGTCCTTGGACGGGCAAAAAAAGCTAGTAATAGCAACACTGTGTTCTCAAATATAGTCAGTTTATGATCTCAGCACAATCACAATGCCTACATAAAAAACCCCAATAAGGAGAAGTTTATTTTTTCACTTAAATCGGCTTTCTGCAGCTATGAAGATTCATCGTGTACACACCCTGGTTAGGCTTAGGGCACTCAATTCAGAGCAGTCAACGAGAGCCGGACATGTAAAACTGATTTAAAGACTCCACGATGGTGTAATTACGGGCACGTTATCTCCTTTGGCTGCCACTCTCATCGTTCGTATCGACCCTCGGCCATAATTTGTTCAAACGAAGTATCCTGCTAAGTGACCACTTACTATTTTTAGCAGTCTATCCTGATTGTCCAAATGTTTTGAATACTGTTCATTGCTGATGGATGACATGTGGCAGAACCACTCTCCATGGAGCATGCAGAACCGTTTTATTGTTGTGTAAGGGAGGCCTATTGAAGTAAACTAAACTACATTCAACTATTTTTATTTTACCAGGTAAGGCCCATTGAGTTATATAGATTTTTTTCCAGATGTGACCTGGCCACAAATGATAGCTCAACGAAGTCGCTTATCACGTGGACATTTACAGCAGCCAGATACTCTAAACGCACGTTTTAAAATGTGGAGGGTAAAACCGGAGGACGTGAAGACAATTCCACGCAACCACTGGGAGAACATGCAAACTCCAAATATACACGCATCAGGGTCGGGATCAAACCCACGACCTCCTGTATTCCAGGTGAGGTAGTCAACATTTCGTCACCGTGACTCCAGAAGTACGTGCAAAGGGGCAGACCTGCAATTACGGTAAAACCTTGGATTGCGAGTAACTTGGTCTGCGAGTGTTTTGCAAGACGAGCAAAAAATGTAAATACATATTAATTTGATAAACGAGCGAGGGTCTTGCAATACGAGCAGTAGTACGTATACACGCTTTGTCTGCCGAGCGTCACGTGATCACAACTGATGTACTACGAGTGCTTTGATGTACGAGTGCTTTGGATTACAAACACGTTTGCGGAACGAATTATGCTCGCAATCCAAGGTGTTACTGTACTTGGTTTAACGCATAGGCTTTTGCGGCCAGTGTCGATAATAGTTTTTTGGGTTAGATTGTGTAAATATTAATGTGTCGTTAAACCCGCCACCACCCGACACAGCCAATTAGTAAGGTTTGTCACGTAAACAAAACATGTTCATTCGCTACTAGTACAGCACACCGGTGTGTTGGAGAGTACATCTACATTTACAATCTGAGTACGACGTTTCGCCAGTAATTACGCGTTATACGACGTTTCACCTCAAGGTAGTTGTAATTAATGGCGAAACGTCGTACTCAGATTGGAAATGTTTTGCATTTGCTCTCCAACATAGGAATTTTCATGTTCTGTTTACGTGACAAACCTTACCAATTGGCTGTGTCGGGTGGTGGCGGGTTTAACGACGCATTTGTATTTACACAATCTAACCCAAAAAATGTATACATAATGGCTGCAATTGCTTGCTCATGCTATTGCTGGCAAATGGCCTATCAAGAGGGTGAACTCTAGCCTTGAGTGACTCTCGCGGGTATTTTAGTCTACTCTTTCATGCTAACCAGATATTGCAGAAGAGGGAAAGTGCCCACACATTTTTGTCAAACACAAGAGATCTGCTTATCGACCTTGGTGTATCCGTGTATATTGTTAGGGGGACAGAGGTGGGGGGGGGGGGGACGTTAAGAAATATGCCCGCTATTTCATGAGCCGTGCCGGGACATCGGCGACATCCGTGACTTTAGTAGTCGTTCTGTATTATCTTGTAAGGACAGTCCCTAACTTGATGTGATGCTTTGGTGACTGTAAGCACTCTAGTAAGACGTTGTCTTTACTTCGTGACTGAACTCCGAGTGTGCGTTTGTAATTGGTCGAAATCCCCCCCCCTCCCCCAAAATGATAAAACGTTGAATTCTCTCATGAGAACACAATTGCACAACGGACACTGAACCTTGCGTTTGGACAATGTTTAGTGTCTGTTGCAACCTGCAGTGAGAAACGTGATCCATACACCATTGTACTGTATAGGGCACTAAGTGGAACCTGTGATATTTACAAAAGCTGTAATTTAGTGTGTATCCATGTGGGTGGTTCAACAGGCTAGCAATGGTCATGTAACGATACTGAGCCAGCTCAATTCCTGGCAGCCAACTGGGATAAAATTATTAATTAGTCTTTCTGCAGAGTGATGGTCATGGCAGGCACAAATTAAATGTCAACAGTTTTCACGTACTTATTTCTGGGGCATATAATTGGAAAAATATATCTAAATAATGTGTGATATTTAAATGCATATGGCACTTAAATTCCTACAGCAACTCAAAGCACCTTATATGTACAGTATGTATGTTGAACTTATTTCGCACCGAACGTAGCAAACCGTGGTTATTGGACGCACGGAAAATGTCATCATCTCATTGCATGATCGCATCTCAAACATTCAAAGGGCACCCCCAGCGGCAGCTGTTCCTGTGCGGCACAAGACGATTCAGACAGGCCTGAAAGTGGGCATATGTATGCCAGTAGGGGAGATGATTGCTTTGTACATTTTTAGCATTTGTCAAATTTTTATCCTGACGCCAGCGCACAGTAGCCTACTCATTTAGAATTGCATCACGGGATGTTAACTATCCACTCTAAAGCAGACGTGTATCTGTACAGTTAATACACCCGTGGTACGTAAAACATCAGGGAGGCCGCTGGATTAGAACCGTGAACCTCTGCAACGAGTGGTGAACTCGCTACCAATGGGCCATGTCCATATATCTACATGTATTGCCTTCCATCGGACAAAAACCTGGACCATTCAGTTCAGAATTCTTCGTGACAGCTTGGCTCAGGCTTGGCTCTGGTTCAAGTGAGATGGCTCAAAGCCACACCTAACTTGAGCCGGCTCTGGGCATGGTCCCAGCCATGCTCAGAATTTCCTTGAGCAGAGCCTGAACCATATATCAATGATGGGCCACAGTAGCATAGTAACTAAATTATCAGCTCAGAGGGTGTTGCAATCGGTCAGGTGGGGCCCCAATATTTTATTTGTCTCGCACGACACATTGGCACTCGATTCGGACTTGAATCCGGAATCCACTCATTTGGAGCACTCAAACGGCAAACATAAATTATTTGATAATTCAGGTTTTTTTTTAATTTAGATCACGTAACTATATAAATGTGCCGTTAAACCCGTCACCACCCGACACACCCAATTAGTAAGGTTTGTCACGTAAACAGAACATGCCAATACACCGCTGTGCTGTACTAGAAACGAATTGGTATGTTCTGTTTATGTGACAAACCTTACTAATTCGCTGTGTGGGGTGGTAGCGGGTTTAACAACACATTTATATATTTACGCGATCTAACCAAAATAAAACGTGTAATATTGATGATATTGGTTGCGAAAGCCTACGTGTTAAACATTAAATCTTTGGTTCACCTAAACATGCGCTGACGTGGCTTTCAGCGAACGAGCGCGCGCCCCGTTCGAGCGAAGTGTGCCACCTTATAACTTCCCCCTATTCGTCCCAAGCCAGAAGGTTCTGCTTGTCTACCTGGTGGCACAATGATGACAACAACAACGTCGAAACAAACATGCGACGCGCAATTTGAGGAAGCCAACCGCGTTACTGTTCTAGTTAAATTAAAAGTGGAACGTAAATGAAAGCACTTTCATAAAAGTGAATTGAAACCGCGTTTTAAATACGTCTTATATTCTTTGGTTCTTTCGGTAAAGTCACGTAGAAGGGAAACAATAAAATAAAAATATAAAACAATAAAATTCTCACGACGTTTCGACTGGAACACAAGCAATCATCATCAGGTGTGAAAACCACAGCAAGAAAAATTAGAAATTTTCTTGCTGTGGTTATATTTTTATTATTTTATTGTTCCCCTTCTACGTGGTGACTTTACCCAAAGAACCAAGAATATGAATCCCTGCAGTCACGAAAGCTTTAAAATCAAAATTTAAATACGTCTTAGTTATTTTTTTTAAACAATGCTGTTGAGAAATATCTCATGGTGGTTGTCACGGGGGGCCCAACTCGTAATTTTGGCTACCAGGAGGGGCCAGGGCACCCCCAGACCCCACCACGCTCGTTACGCCACTCATGCATCTGTGGAAGCAACTGAGCGACTTAAGCGTGAGTTGAGCTGCGTTAGAGGGCCAAACGAGAGTTGAGTCGTGACTCAGAATACGACCCTTAGTGTCTCGGAAAGAGTCGCAGATTTCCCAGGAGAGTGATCTCACAAATATGATGATTCTGGGAAAGCCAGGACAGGTGACAACACACGATTGACCACGCTTAAATGTTTCCCTCAGTTTAGAAGCAGTGTTTCATCCCCGCAGCTACTCACACGCAATGGCGTTAATCATTTGGTCAAACCAAAAAACACGTGGAACATTGAATTATATTAGTTACGAGAACCTGAGTTTTGAGTTAAAGGCGTGGTTGCAAATTAAATAGATTCGCTGTACACGTATATAGCCATCGTCAACCAGGTATCCCATCACCAAGAGTCAATGTTCCTGATGTATACATCTGCATGTAAACATCATCAGCTTCAGGCGATTTGCCAGAATTGGTGTGATTCAGGCAAAATTGCTGAATTGGTGATTCTGGCAAATCGAACCACTGTGATTCTGGCAAATCGCCTGATGAAGCTGGTTGTAATCACCAGCGAAACGTCGTACTCGAATGATCAATGTTGTGGGTTTTACTCTCCAACACACCGGTGTGCTGAAGTAGTAAATAATTGACACTTTTGTTTACGTTACAAAACTTAATAATTTGCTGTCGGGTGGCGGTGGGTTAACATCACATTCATTTTTACGCGATCTAACTCAACCCCCCCCCCCCGACCATTTCTTATGACTATAATATTCGGTCGCGAAAGCCGAATTGTTAAACTCACCCCATCGAGGCACATGCCTGCATACGACATTTTATGACAAAGCTGCCATCTAGTGGGGATACGGAGATCGCACAGCCACATGCGCTTGCTGGATAGTTGATTGAGCCTGGGCAGTCCTGTACTTGCAAGAGGGCTTGCCAGGTGTTGTAGGATTGTGGGATTGCGAGACTGTCAGGAGACGACAATGTGTAGGGGTTGCCCCCTGGTCTGTGCGTGGTGGGTTTTATTCAGGTACTCTGGATACTCCAACACATGCCACTCATTAAAGAAACTCGCCAAATATCTATTCTAGATTTAAAGCTTTCGTGACTGCTAGGATCCATACTCTTTGGTTCTATTGGGTAAAATCACGTAAAAATATCCCCAAAAGCAGTACCCAGCTCCTGAAAAGTTCATTTGATGGCCTTTGCAGCCAGGCAGACTGGTTGATTATTTGCTGCAACGTAAGGCGCGAATGCTCCAACGGAGCTGGTGTGCTTTTGTAAACACATTCCAATACTCCTACCAAATCCTACAATAAGCAGACACTGGATCGTATGCCACGTTGAGATATATGGAAAAAAATATTTAATTAAAACCCTGGCCGGAGTTGACGCGCCCTCATGGTGATCCTCGACTCTTAATTAAGAGTCAGAGAAATTAAAACGACCTGCTGAGGATGCACACTTGAGTGGCAGGCAACCAATAAGTCAACACATTCAATAAATGCTTGACTTATGATTACTGGAAACCACATTCCGCCCGCAAATTATAACGAATTGTTTCATGATGCACTTTGGTTATTTCGGTAAAGTCACGTAGAAATAAAATAAATAATAGAATACGACGTTTCGATTGCAGCACAAGCAACCGTCATCAGGTGTGAATGCAAGCTCGGAGAGAGACACACACATATACAGAGAGAGATACACACAGAGAGACACACATAGATGTGCTCACCTGGCGGACGCTTGTGTTGCGACCGAAACGTCGTGTTCTTTTTACTATATTTTTTCTACCTACAAGACTTTACCGAAAGAACCAGAGAGTATGGATTCCTGCTGTCACGAAAGCTTCAAATCAAGGAAGAGATGTTCTGTTTGTGTTTGCCAATAAGGCAAAAAGCTTTTCCAATACCTGCCCAGGACATTGTTACGGTAAAAGTCAGAATTTTACTGAATTTATCGAAACTTTGCACTGGTTACGCTGTGTGGCTAAGTGTTTTGGTTTTTGCCGTGATAACATTTATGGCTTTTCACAAATTTTCATGAGGTTTCATAGCAAATCAATTGGTGCCATATTTTCAGAAGTGCTTTCCTTCACATTGCAATTGGTTTGGTGTGGCTAAGTGATTTTGTTGCGAATGTCAAACGGATATCAAACGTAGAGCTGTCAATCCATACGGTTTGCCCGTATTCTTGTACAGGGAAATTTAGTTTTCAGGTCCATGCGATGTACAGCCGTTTCAACACGGGCTAAAACATGTGTTTGTTCGTGTTTCTCCCTTGTGATGGGACTTTGTAGGATGAACATTGATTTTTACAAGGGCACGGGATGACCAAAAAGGTCTGAATTGGTCTGTAATAAAGTAGGGCACTGATAAGGGTTGACAGGTTTGCAAACGTCAAATCAACTTTCCTTCGGTGTACGACTGCCGGTCTGTGTTGTCTCTTTGGAAAGTTGCCTATAAAATCGTTCACGAAGCAATGAGTGGCCGCCCGCTCTTGTCATGTGAGACGAAGCATAAGTCAGGGTTGATAGCTCGTCCTTGTTTTTCCATCTTGAGTGCAATGGGCCCGGCTGGGAAACGTCGTACATTACGGACGTGTCTTGTGCCGCCAACCATTCGTCGCGTTTATATAGTATACATTTTAGGAATACGTTTTGAACGCAGTGTTTGTCCTTCACTCGATGGCTACTCATATGCCGCTCTTCGTATGCGAATAAAAAACGGTTCATCAAGATTTAGTTTTAAATCTAATCAGTCCCCACGGTGTAAAGTTCAGTCTTCAACTCATCCACTAGGCCTCGGCAAGGTAAGGTAAAAACAACGAGCCTACCTTTACCTTTTACCTTACCACAATACAATCACTCTACTCTACCTTTTACCCTTACCCCATACAAATGACCTGATTACAGGGTAATTACTGGGGTACTACACATGAAAAAGGTTTATAACAGGTAAATGCTAGGTAGAGTGCTTTATTCATATAGAATACTCTCGATTATTCCAATTTTACACGCTTTCTTTAAACTCTGTTGTCATATCTTCAAATCTTATAACTCAATTTTTACCCACTTCCCAATGTGGTATCGACTGCAAACTTGGTAAACTTATGTCATACTGATGACAATACTATATTATATCATAAAAAATAAAATATTAAAAAATAAAATATTTTTAAACATATTATTTTTTTATGTTATGTTTCGGCTTGGGTTTAATTGTCCAGTCAACTAACGTTGGCTGTAATTGGCCACGGTCCCCTTACGTTATGGCGAGCTTCGGGGCCACTTCCTGGAGTCGTGGAGTTCTATTACTCGTAGATTTCATTAAAGCGTGTTTTTAAAAAGTTTTAAAAAATATATTACTTCTTAAATGGAGGCCACGGACTGCGCCACGGAGCTTTTAGCAGTAAACAAGGCACCGTGTTTACCGGGTTAATACTTCTCGCTACCTTTACCCTACCGGGTAATTCTTCCGAGCTACCTTTACCCTACCCTTCACCTTACCCCTTGGCATGTAGACACCTTTACCCTTTTACCCGGTAAAAAAGGTAAATTACCTTACCTTGCCGAGGCCTATCATCCACCCTATCCCTCTGGCCTCCCTATTTACGTGCTATGATGAAGGGCCGTCATTGGCGAGCGTTTTTTTTATATCTTTCTTAATAACCCTAAATTATTTTTAACAGTAAAATTAATAACTTGGTACGAATGTTTTTTTTTCAAATCGCGTTTCACGTGCCACCGCCGCGCGATTTCGCCCCGCGCGGCCACCGTAGAACACGCGGCCCCACTTCCCGAATGTCACGTGGTACCGCCGCTCCTCGTGGGGGGTGGCGCGGAGACGTTTAACTTCCGGGTCACGTGGTGCTCCCCTGCCGGGTCACGTGGTACTGGTGAATGCGCCGCGCGTGCTGAACGCGGTGAGTGTCGCGTCCCGTCCACCGCCCTCACCACTCTACACTAGCTACTACTACTACACTAGTTACTACACTAGTTACTACACTAGTTACTACTACACTACCACTACACTAGTTACTACTACTACACTAGCTACTACTACACTAGTTACTACTACACTAGTTACTACTACACTACCACTACTACACTAGCTACTACTACACTAGCTACTACTGCTACACTACTTACTACTATATTACTACTACACTACTACACTAGCTACTACTACACTAGCTACTACTACACTAGCTACTACTACACTAGTTACTACTATACTACTACACTAGCTACTATTACTACACTACCACTACACTAGTTACTACTACACTACTTACTACTATACTACTACACTAGCTACTACTACTACTACACTACCACTACACTAGTTACTACTACACTAGTTACTAATATACTACTACACTAGTTACTACTACACTAGCTACTACTACACTAGTTACTACTATACTACTACACTAGCTACTATTACTACACTACCACTACACTAGTTACTACTACACTACTTACTACTATACTACTACACTAGCTACTACTACTACTACACTACCACTACACTAGTTACTACTACACTAGTTACTACTATACTACTACACTAGCTACTACTACTACACTACCACTACACTAGCTACTACTACACTACTACTACACTAGCTACTACTGCACTACCACTACACTAGCTACTACTACACTAGTTACTACTACACTAGTTACTACTACACTACCACTACACTAGCCACTACTACACTAGCTACTACTACACTACCACTACACTAGTTACTACTACACTACTTCTACACTAGTTACTACTACACTAGCCACCACTACACTAGCTACTACTACACTAGCTATTACTACACTACCACTACACTAGTTACTACTACACTAGCTACTACTACACTACCACTACACTAGTTACTACTACACTAGCCACCACTACACTAGCTACTACTACACTACCACTACACTAGTTACTACTACACTAGTTACTACTACACTAGTTACTACTACACTACCAGTACACTAGCCACTACTACACTAGCCACTACTACACTACCACTACACTAGCTACCACTACACTAGCCACTACTACACTAGCTACTACTACACTACTACTACACTACCACTACACTAGCTACCACTACACTACCATTACACTAGCTTCTACAACACTACCATTAAACTAGCTACTTGTACACTACCACTGCACTAGCTACCACTACACTAGTACTGCCACAGTACCACAACCACACTTACTTTTACTATTACTACAGTACTTTCACTACACTAATTACTACAGTACTACCACTACACTAGATACTAGTACAGTACTACCAGTACCAATATTAACTACCATTAAACTGGCTACGTGTACACTATCGCCACTGCGCTGTCTACTGCTACACTAGTGGCTAATACTACAACTGCATAAACCACCACTACTAAACTCGCTAATGTAGTGGCTAATACCAACCGAATACCCTTCCACCGCGACGACACGAGCGACTACTCCACACCACAGAAGCTGCTAAGCTGCAGGGGCTAGCAGCACTACACTATAGCTACTCCTGCTGATTCTACTGCAACACAAGCTGCACGTACAGCGGCACACTTAACACACGACACAGGGGGGGGGCCCCCATTTAACTTTTGGTTTCGCCCAACCTCACCACGCTTGCAGGTGGAGGCGGCTAGCGTACATTGGATTTGCTGTACTGCACTCTGCCGGGACGCCTGATGATGCTGGCTATAATTACTTGGCGAAACGTCGTCGTACTCTGTAAATGTTGTGGATTTTGCTGTCCAACACAACGGTGTTGCTGTACCAGTAACGAATTGGCATGTTTTGATAAACCTTACTAATTGGTTGTGTCGGGTGGTGGCGGGTTTAACGACACATTTATATTTACGCGATCTATCCCCCCCAAAACCCCTATATTATGGATTGTATAACTCCTGTTAACCTATAATGCCTGGTATGCACGGTGGCCACATCAAGCGCATCCCTGCACAGCTGTTAGGTTATTTGGTCGAAGCTTCTTCACCCGTGGAGCATCAAAGGGCCATACGTAACGCGCTTGATTATAACTAAAAAAATATTGCTTTTTTCTCATTCACGAAGCCGTAATCTGCGAGACATCCTTGGGACACAGCATAGATGTTGTAGCTGCTATTGTGTTTCCTTGTGAGTTTGCACTTTGTTATTTAAAGCCGTGGAAGTTGGGGGAAACCTTGATTGAATGTGTTGCAACACTGGGCAAGACACGCGGAGATGTTGAGACAGGAAGTGAAGCCACCTATATAGGGTCAGGGGTCAAGGTTGGATTTGGGGTCCGTGGCCAGTAACACATCCTAAATTATTTTAGTTTCGCTTTTAATTTATTCCACGGCATGCGTATACCTCAATGTAGGTGTTTATGCAACTAACCAGAGCGATTGAGTTAGGGTAAGAGCTGAGCTGTTCTTAAAGTCCCGACGATAGATTTACGTCTGGGCTCATCTTGCATGAGCATTGCATCTTTGTTATCATGACTTTTATCGGCAGAGATAGGACTAGAGTATGATCGGTTCTCGCGTTAGAGTCGGTGATGTTGTATAGTGTGAAGGTTGGGGAAAGTCGGTCGGTTTATTTTGGGTAAGGCCCATTGTGCTAAGATTATTTTGCATTCGTCACCCGGTGAAAACGGCTGATGCGGTAGCATGTTGCACAAGAAGGGAGGAAGTTTTCCATGGGGCTCCACAGAACAGGCAGGGGATTTTTTTTTAAATATATAAACACAGCTAATAAACAACAACAATTGTGTACAATGGAAATTTAGCGAGCAATCCAAAATAATATGCATGGCACGAGTGAGAGGAAACTCGAAAGTCTCCGGTTAGTCAGGGGTATGGCTAGAGATTGTTTTTCGATTATATAAAAGGGACTTGGCATAAATGCCATCGTTGAGGTTTTGGTTATGGCTGTAGTTTAAGGCTGGGCCAGGGTGTTTGGTTTCGAGTTGGGGTTATTGTCGAGGTTGAGATCAATATCGGTTATAGTTCGGTTATGTTTTGGTTAATTTAAGGGTGAAGGCTTGGGCTATCTTTAAAGTATGGGCTCGCATGAGGGTTATGGCAAGGGTCTTGACAACAACTGGTTTTAACCCCAACCTCAGGGTAGGGCTGAGGTTTAAAGGTGGTGTGAGGGCTCGGACTCTACGTATGTGGCTGCTACTGATTTCAGTTCTGGGGACATGGATATTATTACCACACTGCTCTGATTTGTCCATACAATCCGTTGTGAGATTGCGCAGGGTTGAAGTTCACTCCCAGCCAGTTAATTAAACTGGCTGGACAGTTCACTCAGGAGTAATTGCCAGCTTGCCACTTAAACAGTTCTTAGTGACTATAGTTTCCCAGCCCTTTCTTGCAAATTACATAATCTCAGAGCGCTCCGACCCCTTGTACATAGAAGCCACCATTGCATTATGTCAATGGAATGGGTAATCTTGTGCCCTATTGTAGCTTGAATTAAAAAAAATCCAAGCATGTAGCGAAGTGACAGAGTGCTAGATTACACTACATTTGGAAGGCTGTTACATTTAACACATTCCTGCGGAGGGAGATGGTAGGAACGTTTGGTTGCTCGGTCAATGGCCAGGGTCAACGGCGGCACCACGTGGTGTATTCCGCAAATATGCGCGACTGTGAGTAGGTTAAACGTTGAGTTTTATAAGGGCACCACGGGGTGACCAGCCCCTTCCCACCCAGCCCCACCCCTCCCACCCCCCACCCAGCCCAACTCTCTCCACCCCCCACCCAGCCCCACCCTCCCCACCCAGCTCCTCCCAGCCCCTCCCCACCCTCTCCTCCCCACCCAGCCTCTCCCCACCCAGCCCCTCCCCACCCTCCCCTCTCCACCTAGCCCCACCCCTCCCATTTTATCCGGGTGTCCGGATACACGTGGACAGACATCCACAGACATACACAATTATTCCCCTGCCTCCTGTAAATTAATCCCGGTTGGGCTTCCAGTCCACTACGTTTCCTCCCAGTATTATCATTCTTGGTGGGTAGATAAACTGAGTACTGCTTATGTCGAAAGTCACCAGCAGTTGTATTGAGAGACTGGCCCTGTCAATAGTAATGTGGAATTGCGCCACTGGTGCTATGTGCTTTCCACCAGAGATGAGCACCACCCCAAGCTGGCTGGATGATAAATTTGACTTTGCTCTACTAAGAAAGGATCTGCACATTGCCTAACTAAACCTGCCAAGATTACTCTTGCAAAACAAAATGTATAACCTCAGTGGATTGTCATCCTCATGAACACGTTGAATCAAATTCATATTTTACACCATCTTAAAAATCTATACCCAACTCCAAACCAAGCTTACACTTGTGTCGTGACATCGCGGATGTCGCCGTGTGGTGCCGGCTCTAGCGAGGCACGGCGTGCGATGTACTCACATCACGGACATCACGTATGTAGCGACATCGTGGATCACTGGGTAATGCCGGCTCTAGCGAGGCACGGCATGTGATGCACTTACATCGCGGATATCACATATGTAGCGACATCGTGGATGTCACTGGGTAATGCCGGCTCTAGCGAGGCACAGCATGTGATGCACTTACATCGCGGACGTCACATATGTAGCGACATCGTGGATGTCACTGGGTAATGCCGGCTCTAGCGAGGCACGGCATGCGACATCCCGGACACCCCGTGTATGTGGGTGTAGTTCCAGCCCTAGAGGGGCCTCGGTGAGCGCTGGGTCATAGCGCTCGGTGGCACCACGCGTGGCGTGCAGTGCTGACTCCTACAGGAGGGAGTGTGAGAGTGTCAGCCTTGGAATGAGGTTACCCCAGGCCATGGCACCCTGGTTGACCCTGGAAGGCACGTGACGGGTAAGATCTACACAGGGGCCCCAAGGGGAGGCTGGGGGTAGTCACGTGCCTGGGCGAG